TTTTGCTGTATTTTAATCTATTTATAGTCTCACATTAAAATATGTATGGAGATGGGGCTAGGGTTGTAGATCAGTGGTAGAGCAATTGCCTTGCACATGTGTGAGGCCTTGGGTTCAATTCTCAGCATCACATAAAAATAAAAATAAATAAAATAAAGGCATTGCATCCATCCTCAACTAAAAATATTTTTTAAAAATTTGTATGGAGACAATTCATACCTTTAAAATATAAAAATATATGTATATAATTATCAAGAATACAAGTAACAATAAATATTGGTAACTCATACATTGCTGGTGGGACTGCAAATTGGTGCAACCACTCTGGAAAGTAGTATGGGGATTCTTCAGAAAACGTGGAATGGAACCACCATTTAACCCAGTTATTCCTCAGTTTATACCCAAAGGACTTAAAACCAACATACTATAGTGATGAAGCCACATCAATGTTTATAGCAGCTCAATTCACAACAGCTAAACTATGGAACCAACCTAGATGCCCTTCAACAGATAAATGAATAAAGAAAATGTGGTATATATACACAATGGAATATTACTTAGCCATAAGGAAGAACGAAATTATGGCATTTTCAGGAAAATGGATGGAACTGGAGACTATCAAAGGCCGCATGTTCTCTAATATGGGGATGGGATGCTAACACACAATAAGTGGGAGGTAGGGAAGAATACTTTGGATTAGACAAAGGGGGATGAAGGGAAGGAAGGGAGGATGGGAATAGGAAAGACAGTAGAATGAATCAGACATTACTTTCCTGTGTTCATATATAAATATGCAATCAGTATAATTCCACATTATGTACAACCACAAGAATGGAAGTTATACCCCATATATGTGTAATATGTTAAGATACATTCTATTGTCATGTATAACTAAAAAGAACAAATAAAACATTTAAAATGATATATGTACTTGTATATACATGCATGTGTACATATATATACATGTATTACTAATTTATATGCAATATAATGCAATGATACATAATTGCATTATATATACATAAAATATTATATGTGCATATACATATGCAATAATTTGAGTTGGGAGAAAAGCTAAATTTGTTTGAAGATCACCAATTTGAATGAATTTTTTTTGTGTGTGGTGCTGGGAATTGAACCCAGGGCCTTGTGCATGTGAGGCAAGCACTCTACCGATTGAGCTATATCCTCAGCCCCACAAATTTGAATAATCTTATCAAATATGAATATATTCAATTTCCAGTAACTTTATTTATAAAGACAATGGTTTGGAATATTTTTCTAAAACAAAAGAACCAGCTGACACTTCTTTCTAGGGTAACAATTTATATTCTGGAATCCCTCTAAGATTTCATTTCCCTACCTGTGCCCTGTTAGTTAAATATCTGTCTATAACCATGTACTTCCTAAATCTGAGTAAATTTCCATCATGGGAGTTAAATCATTTGTAAGTCACCCATGCAATACGTCAAGGTTGCAGGTTCTATTGGTATCCATAAAACATTTCATTCAAAAACTGTTTCCTTGACATTTGACTAAATCCCTGCACGACTTATTCTTATTCATCGATTTATCATGCTTCCCTTGTTTGTCAACTGTGCTATTGTGATCCATCAGCCACAAAGCATTTGTTGAGTGTTTTTTCCTCTTTACCCTCTGAATCGTGAAACTCAGGCCAGAAGGCAGTCTGTTTTTAATTAAAGGTCATGATTTTCAGAGGTCATGTTGACACATTCTCCTGTTAATGAACTTAATGAGATCGAACACTCAATCTCTAACAGTACTTTCTGCTCTCTGGCCACTTTCTGGAGATAACTTTAATTTTTGGTTAGATACAAATGAGTGTTTGCCTTCCTGCTGTTTCCAGGCCTATGATTTACATATAGTAAGAACCATGTGCATACTGGTGCCAAATACCAAATGGATGTGAAACTTCTCAAAGAGTTGGTCTGGGTGACAAAATAACTCTACAGCAATTCATTGCTCTTTTATGAACATGTCTAGTGTCCAAAAAAGAGTACAATTTTTTTTTTTTTTTTTAAGTCTGGAAAGAAAATGATCAACTCGTAATATTCTGCTAAAGAACAATGAGTAAGTAAAAAAAAAACAAAAATTCCCAAGCTTGTCCATGCATTAGAGTCACCAAGAAATCTTTAAAAAATTCTCATCCCCAGGGCATAGTACATTTGCTTTCCAGATGATTCCAATGTGTAGAAAAGTTTGAGAACCACTGATTTAAAGTTTAAAAATAATAGTAAAATTCTGGTTGATAGAAACAGTGGTCTCTCTTTTTTTTTTTTTTTTTCAGACCAGTCCCCATATAGGTGACAATCATAAACTATGAACAAAATATTTAACAAATAAAAAGCTACTGGAGCTATAAAAAATAACAAATAAAAAGCTATAAAAAGCTATGTGAAGCCCTGAGAGTGATCAAAAGTAGGCATACTATATAGGGTTGTCTCCCCTTAAGAGAAAGGAACTTTTAAGATGTAGAAGTTTCTGGTTTTATGCCTGAATGCTTATTCTTCAGGTGCACAGGGGTGGGTGACGGCTGCAGACCTAGTGTCCTGAGACATCATGGACAGAATTGGGATGGGCAGAGTAGAAAATTCAGCAGGTAGTTAGGAGAGGTGTTCTGGAAAGGAGAGCTACAAGAGCAAATCTCAAATTCTGAATCTTTGTTCAAAGCCTTGGTTGACTTGTGCAGGGGGGACCCTGGTGGCCCCGAATGTCAGCAACTGAAAACTGAAGGACTGATCAGATTTCAGCTACCATCCATGACAGAGGAGACAGGGTGAATTTCCAATCCAGCCAAAAGAACCACCTGAAGACAAAAACCAACTCTTCAAAGAAGGTAGCAGAATCAATTCCTTATTCATGTACCATTCATCAGGTCCAGTATAAAATAAAAATAAAACCACAGGAACAAAAATAACAGCCTCCCTGCTAAAGTGAAAGTCAGTTAACAGAAACTGACTGATAATGATGTTACAATTAGCAGACAAGTGCTTTGAGGAAGCTATTATAAATAGCTTATATGGTAATGGACTCATAATTCATAAGCAAATGAGAAATCAAAGCACAAAAGTAGTAATGAAAAAAACAAAAACCCCAAATAGTGAAGCCTGGCACAGTGACCCACTCTTGTAATCTCAGTGGCTCCGGAGGTTGAGACAGGAGGATCTCAAGTTCAAAGCTGGCCTCAGCAACACCAAGGAGCTAAGCCACTCAGTGAGACCCTGTCTCTAAATAAAATACAAAAAATTGGGCTGGGGATATGGCTCAGTGACGGAGTGCCCCTGAGTTCAATCCCCAGTACCAAAAAAAAAAAAAAAAATCAAAGTGCCTAAACACATAGTAAAAGGCAGAGATCATTAGACTAGATAAAAGTCAGACCCAACTCTATGTTCTCTGAGATAGTTTTTAAACACAAATAAGTTAAAAGTTAAAGAATGAGTAAATATGTACTAAGTAAATAATAAGCATAAAAACCATTTTCTATTTGGCTTTGATATGAATAGCTTTCATGTTTACCTTTTCAATTGTATTTACCTGTTCTAAAAACACAGGCAATTTAGAGACCTTTTTTTTTTTTTTCAAACCTTTGGGTTTCAATGACCTTGGGGGATCAAACCCAAGGCAGGCTGGGCAAGCACTTTACTACCAAGCTCCTTCCCTAGTTCTTTTCAAAGACTCTTCTCCCTTTTAGTGTGTGTGATTAATCAGAACACCTTAACATAAAGCTTTCAGAATTTGCTGTTCTCCCTTACCTGTGCTACAGCAAAATGTGTGGCTTTTGATCCAGCTATTGGAGCAAGCAATAATTTTTAATCACTTTTGTTTATTTCATTTGTATTATATTAATGTGTTTTGTTTCTTCTATGTATCAGCATTATATTTTGGTTCATCTATTTCTGTGACTCTCTGAGGCAGGGCCAGCCCCCTCCTAAGTACCTTCAAACAACACCCGGCTAGACTACCACACCTTTTTCTCACTTCATTTTCTTATATCTCTTGGTTATCATTATCAGTTTCTCTCTTTCCCTTGTGGGGGGAAAAAGTCTATCTCTTTCTACAGGAGGAATTTTCTATAACAGAGTTTCAAAACTAGACCAACTTCAATGTGGAAGAATGTTTCTATACTCCACAATCCTGACGCCATAATGCTCCCCCTAACTTAAGACAATTCATCGCTAGGGCAGTGCTGGAAAGAACATGACTAGACCAACAAAGAAACTTCATGCTAAGCATGACGATAATAAGAATGGTTTTGTGGCATGCGACAAGTGAAAGGAACACTACAAATTCCCTTCTGGCTATCTGGGCTTTGTAAGTAATTGTCTAGTCCAACAAACTCTACTTGTGCACAGCACCATTTTTTCAAAAACTTGTGACCTTGTAAAATGCTTACCTATTAAAATAACCAAACCACCATAGAGAGAACCTCATCCATTAGTTCATCATTTTAGAGACTGCTTTAAACATTTTAAAAGGTAATTTCTCTATAAATTAATGATATATATGAATGCAAAGACCTTACCCAACTGTACCACTGAGCAAAGCTTATTTTAAAGGATAATGTGGAAGAGGGACAATACTAAGAAATGGCTTGTGCTATTTACTTCTGAAAACTGAAGCCATAACTAGTTGCTTCAAGACATTTTTCTTCCCCCAGCTTGGCCAGGTTTTAAAAAAAATACAGGACAGATCACAGTAAGGATTTGGCGATTAGCTCAGTGCTGATTAAATGATTCATTTCAATTTGCCATTCAGCTCTAAGAAAAGATTTAAGGGCCTGCTATGCCTCCTATCAAGAGTAAATATCACACATCCTGTTTATACATATTGGCTTGTTGTCCACAGCTCTTCAAAGAGTCAGTGACACCCCCCTAACTCACACTCAGCCCCACCCCCAACTTCCTGTTCATTGGGGTACTGCATTCCTACTACTACTTAAGAGGTGCCTCCTGCAACAAAATACTCTGTATTACGACAACTTTTAAAGAAAATACTTTATTACGTCATGAAAAAAGGCATCGATCAACTAGATTCATACTTGTTTGAAAAAAAAATGAAAATTTTATTAATTAGACAGTATGTGGGCATCCTGTTCCACATGGGAATGAAAAGATGCAATAGGTTCTCAAAGTATTGCACAGTCTGAAAAAAACACCAACAAAAAAAAAGGGGAAGGGGTGGGAAAAAAAAATCACATGATATTGGGAGCCATCTCACATTATGAATAATCTACCAAGAAACATTTAAAAAAGAAAACCCTTTGTTTCTACAGTAGCTTTGAGTTTATAGTTCTTGGAATGACTGTATTCCATTGAAGACATCTCAGTAACAGGAAGCTTCATTTTAGCAATCCCATGTGCAAATATTAATAAAAAAATATATAAAATAACGCAATTCATCTCTTGCCATCACCACCCCCCTTGGCAATCATGACATTTTTGAGAACTGTTTTGCTTGAAAGGGGGGTGTTAAGCTGTAAGTTTTGCCTGAAGCTCCATCTCTGCAGCCCGTTTGAGTGCAACATCCACTAGAAGCTGAAATCCACTAAAATCCTGGTTGAGGTCCGGTGGAGTAGGGGGAGGAGTGTTGAAAAGACCGCTCTGAGTATTTGTACTCGGTCCAGACTTACATGTGTCCTCCGGATACATGAGAGAGGTGTCTGTAAAGTTGCTGGCTGCCATTTGCTGTATATCTGTGGTTTGTCCCATACCAACCGACTGGCAGAGAGGGAAAGGCACATCTTTCAATGCAGTCACAGTGGTATGGCAGATCACTGATGGACGAGGCAAAATTGATCCCGGGGACGATGGCTTGGGAGACAGGGGCCTCCCTAGGGTTGGGTTTGGTCCAGCTGTGCAGGAATGAAACGGGCTCTCCTCTACAGCTGGCATGAAGTTTTTGATACCTATTGCAGCCTCCATAGAGCTAGCTTCAGAAACCTTGGCCCCACGGCGGGAAATTGTGAACTGATTTGGATCTTTGCCATCCTTTCTCAGCATGTCAGGGAGGAGCCTGCGTCGGGCGTTGATGAACCAGTTACAGACCTGAAATCATATTGGTACACTTTGAACATTTTCCTCATTCAATCAGCAAACAGGTTCTAGGGGTGCCTCTCTTTGAATGAAAGAAGGCGCAGAAAGGCTTATTTGGACTCACCAGTTATTCCAAGGTATTTGAACCCAGCCAAGAAAAAGTGCTACCTCCTGTCATAAATCTCCTTCTGCTTTGAATACAAATTTGCTTTGGGGACTCGTTATCTTTCAATCTCTTCAGGAGAGAGAAAAGATATAAATTCCCAAATACCTGAAAATGATTTTAGGGAGGAAGCTTTACCTTTAACTCTCCCCTTTTTAACCTATTACCTACTGCCCCAACACTTGAGTTAATCAACTACAGGAAAACCTTTCCTGTATGAGAAGTGCCACACCTCCCCAGTAACTGATTTTTCCCAGTTCAAATGACTATGTCAACAGACATAACATGAATTACCTCACTGAAGTCTGTCCTTGTTTAAATATCAAACCAGTTTCCTGGGCAATAGAGTAAGGTTTAACCTCCTTTTTATGTTTGAAGGCTCTTTTAGGCATTAAAGGAAATGCTATCTGACAGATGACTGTCAAGTGTTTCTGTGTTCTCTAAATAGCCAACTATTAGCTTTTAGCGCTATAACGTTTCCAATAAAAAGATATTTCTTTTTTTTTTTTTTTTCAAGTGGGGAGGAGCTGAATGACTCTACACGTAGGAATGCTTTGAAATGACTTTGAAAATGAAAATTCATGTGTGAGGGCCTCAGAGGCAGAGTAGCATGCACAAGACCCTGGGTTCAACCCCTCAGCATTGGGAAAAAAAAAATGAGTGCAATAACCTTGTGCTCTCTTTCCTTACCTGTAGTGTGGACAGGTGAGTTTGCTGGGACAGTAATGCTTTTTCTTGCTCTGAGGGATAGGCATTGTACCGGTGCTCATACAGCCAATCCCGCAGAATCTGAACAGACTCCTTGGGTAGGTTACCCCTTCTCCGTCTCTTGCCTGAGCCAGCTGAAGAGGAAAGGTCCAGGGGTATGTCCATGCTGTCCTCATCCTCCGTCTCACTGCCAGATGCTGCAACAACACCTAGAAAAGCACAAAGGCCAGCTGTCACTTGCTTTTTATCAGCAGGGCAACTATCGCAGAGCTCATTGATTCTGACCAGTCAGTGTAATTGTATTTTTTCAACCACTGAAAACGAAGCAAAAGACCCGTGTTTTCTGCCCTGAATTACCAGGGTACCTGTAAAAGTCCTCAAGAGTAATTTGACTAGCTGCACATGGTAGATTTTCAATGACCAGATACCTTTTCTTAGGCACTGTCCTCTAGGACTTAACTTCTCACATTCTTTTTTGAATGATGTTCAGAAGTCTTTTGTTCAATCCATTGGGAGAGACAAACTGAATAATTTGCCCCTTTTGAAACAAGAAGGGTGCTGGGCAGTGGGGTGTGTGTTTAACAAGCTTCTGTTAAAGGTCATTCCTAACTAGAAATAAAAGGCTAATGAATATGCTAATTTACATCTTAAGTGTTAATCTTCCTCTTTCCATTAAAGGTTTGAAGTAAAATTGCTATTTTTTCCCCCCACTGATATAAGGAGGACAAATTACCTAGCTAGTACTATAAAATACTTGTTAAAAATTTCTGCTAATTCCATGATCATTTCTTATTCATCACTACCTATATTTATGCAGGATTAGAACACCTACTTTCAATGGTCACTTCATTAACTACAACCACTAGTTTTCAAGTTTTATTACATAAAAGTATTTCTTTACTATTAGTACTCTAGGAAGACTTCAAAAGATGCCTGAAACTGAATTAACTTAAAACACTGCATAAATTTCGACTGCTAGTTTAATATGAACCTGCAATATCACATATAGATTAGCAGGGTTCAATACTTAAAATTCTTACATGACAAAGAAAACTAAGTATGCAACCCCCAAAGGAAGCTCTTTCTGTTGTAAGTACTTTAATCCTATCAGAAATTTTAAGAATTCACAAACGAGACAGAATATTTAAATCAGCTACACAGAATTCAATAAAAATTCAGACCGGCCCAACTGTTAAACATCATTTTTAATTAAAAGAATTTAAATAACAAATGCTATTAATCTCACCTTTCAAAACTATAACTGGTAACTGTGAATGACTAGAGAAATATTCTTTGTTGGGGGAAGACAATTTTAAAAGTATACATAAATTACAAACTATAAGCATGCTTGAAAATATCAGTGTTTCTGTATTAGAGATTAATTTTTAAAGGTATTACATTTTTAGCTTCATATATATTTTTTTTCTTCTGTAACTTTGGTTGAAAAAAAGACCCAATTTTAACTGAATAATAGAAAATAAAAACAAAATGTTCTTCACAGTGATATACCATATAATGTATTTTTAAGGAACTTTTCAAAAATACACCAACTGATTGGCTTTACTTGGTGACACATTTAGTTTTGGACTGCAGGGGGCAGAAGGTGCTGGAGGGCGTTCCTACAGGAAAAGCAAAAAGCTCTAAAGACAAAGTAAAGCAAGTTCTAACAAAAGAGATGAATGATTTTGCAAATTCACTGTAGCTCAAGGATTAACAGTCATCAGTACCCAAGAATCCTAAGTTTTAACTGCTATGTGTTTGAATTTCCCCTCCCCTAAAGATTTAATTAAGCTGTTTCTTTTTTTAAAGTTTAAAGAAAGGGCATATTGAAAACTGAAACTGCTTTCACTGCTGAGAAGTTGAGAAACTTTCAAAACCCATACTGAAATTTGTGTGAACTATTAATAAAATACCTTGAGATTATAAATGATTTCCTGTTTCACGTTTGCCCTGATAACTAAGGAAATCACTTCTAAACACGTGTCAAGTTAATTGAATAACTAAAGCAAATTTGAATAAGGCAATTTGTTTAAACTCTCCAACGTCTGAAAGCTTCAAGGCTTTTATTTCCCTCTTCCTTTTTTTTAATCTGGAAAAAAGTGTGGAAAATCGCTCATTGAACAGTGAATTCCCAACTGTAAATTGGTAATAACAAAGAGTTTGAAACAAGCAAGTAAACAACAACAACGGAAAAGAATAAAAAGCTCAAGAGTGTCCTTTGATCTGCTTGCTTCATTTGACAAGAAGCTTGATCTTTTCCAATAGGTTAGTGACATACAAAAGCAGGTTTCCGTTAAGCAACACCAAACTAAGGCAAGACTTCACTCTGTTCTCAGTTCATTTTGGGGGGGAGAAAAATGAATGCCAGGCCTCTGGATTTCTTAACAAATATTTTCAATATGTGCACAAAAGCTGAAGTAACAGGAAGTTAAAGCCTTCAGTGCCTTGGATTGGGCCAGCTGATATTTCACTGCAGCTAAACCACGTTTATTGCTGTCAGGACTGTTTTCATTAAAACTCTCCCTCCTGATTGTGGCTCAACTTGGAAAAACAAAGACTTTTCCTCGTTACTCATTTCCTACTGTAACAGAGCTTTTGAAAAGTTTCCCGGTTACGATTTGTTTCCAAACGTCCTGCTTTGCTTACACTTTAAAAATTGTGGTGTTGGAGGGGGGCAGTGGTGGGTGGGGAGAGAGGAATCAAAAGCCTTTTACTCTATCCACATACAAGGAAATGCTGTTTAGAAAGCCACAAGATGGCTCGTGGATCCCACGGCTCTGAGAAGCAATCTTGCTTCTCTGCACTTTCTTTTTCTGAATAGCTCTGAAACATCAAGGGGGAGGGGGACTGAGAAGGTGGTGGTGAAGTTGGATTTTTTAAAAAATGTTAAGAATCTAGTAATAAGACTAAAGGAAAGTTTAATAATTAGGTAAAGGCAAATCTAACCTAACTAACGAGTCTCCTGATCAGAATACCTCCCCTCTGGAGAAGCAAACAGGAATCCAATTTAACACCCAAGTTACTAAATCCACTGTGCGCTTGGCCGCCCCCAAAGAGCGATCCTAAAGCAACATGATCAGGAACTCGGACCAAAAAGACCGGGAGCATTTTCCTTGTCAAACCTTCCTTCTGCCTGTTTTTAACCCACTTTAGGTGATCTTTGGGGGCCGTCTTCAGTTTTCTAAGAGGACACATTATCATCACACGCCGGTTTACTAAAACCCGTACCCTGAAACTGAACTGAAAGTGCCTTTGTCTTAAGGAAACTAGAAAACATGCTCAGACTTTTCTGTAGACAGACAATAGGCCGAGACTGACTTCTGGAGCCCTACCGGAGCGGACAGGCAAGACTCCCTTTCAGCCCCAGGTAATCTTGGACAGGAGGAGGCAGGACCCGGAGGCTCGCGGGGAGAGGGAGGAGCCCGGAGAAGAGCAAGCCGCTTTTGTTCGGCTCCAACTGAAAACCGCCTGCAAACTGTTTTGAGTTAGCACGAGCAGAGGACCTCTGGGGCTTCGGGTCACTAGAGAACTAAAAATGGGGTCGTGGATCCCACATCCTCAAGGTGCCGGTCCCCGATCCCGGACGATTTGTCAGGGAAACCTAAAATGGGAAAGAAAACCCCGGCAACCTCAGCAGTCTCTGCTACCCTTCAGGGAGCCGAGAAGCAATTGCAAAGTTTCCTCTCCAACACGTCACCTTTCATTGTTTCCATGAGTCGGCGCAGAGTAGCAGATCCTCGGTGCGCCCAGGGCTGGGGACCACGGATTCCCCCACCCACCCTGCCAGGGTCCCCCGGAATACCCAAGAGGGCTGGGGGATGGGGGGCGTCGGGGGGAGCGGGGAGGAGGGAGGGGTTCGGGGGTGCCTGAGCCGGGAGGGTAATCACAGCGGCCCCCGCCAGAGCTCAAACAATGGGGAGGGGGCCGGCGGAAGCCCAGTTTTGCATTCGGAGCACTCGAACCACTCAAACCCAGAACCCCTTCTCCCCACACCTTATGCAGGCAAGTCCTATCAGAACCCAGAGCGCCTCCTATTAAGAGTGTAGATCTGTCAGCCTAGTATCAAGGATGACACGGCTTTGCAGAGACACCCGGACGTTCCCCGCGCGTTTTCTCAGCACCAAGTTAAACGTCCCCAACTGTAAACGCCCACGTTCTCACTCTGTCCTGCGGGGAGGGGTCCGCAGGGAGTTCTACTACCAAGTGGCACGTTTAATGTTACTCTCACTGGGGAAGCCTGGAGGGGGTGGGGACAGGGAAGTTCCGCGTGCCTGAGTCTCCCACAGAAGCACATCAACAGAACTCTAAGGTAAAAACACAGCCGAAGGAACCCTACAGGGAGTGCGGCTGCCCCTTCCGAACCTCGTTCCGTTGGAATTGCAGTTGCAGTCCCTTTCTGAAAGAATGTGGAGTTACCAACTCGAGGAAGCTCCCGAGCATGCGCAGCAGCGCCCCCCGCCCCCGGTCCTTGGCTTCCCCGAGCGATTAACTTCTGTTTTGAACCACTCCACATAAATCACAACAGAAAAGCCAACTCTAGTCCACGACGGAACACTCAGGGGACCTCCCAGCGAGGGACTCAAAAGTTAACTTCAAAAGAGACTTTACAGTCTTTGACCTTTCAGGTGTTTTTCCCCCCCTGTGTATTTTGTTTTTTAAACCAGACAGACGGCAAGTTTTAGTTGTAAACCGTCCAGAACGCTTCGTGGAAACAATGACAGCCTCGCTCTTTGCACTTACAACCTAGCCTGCTTGTCACACTTGGACACATTTTGACTGCATGCAGCTTTAAGCAGCTTGCCCGGTGTCCTAACTCCTCATCTTGCCCCAAATCCATCGTGGGAAAACTTAAAAGCTGGGAATTTTTTAGAAGTCTAGCTTTCCAAAGCCATGTACGCCCAAGGGCGATGTGAGGGTCCGGGATCACATTCCTTTGATTGTGAAAAACATCTCATCCCTAAAAAACGGTACCAGGGCCCACTGGGTCGTAGGGGCCCCGGAACCGAACTTTCACACAAAGGCACCGCGGCCTTGGTAGCTCCGGATCCGGGCCAGGAAAAGCTAGGTGGGGTCCCCCGACACCGACCCCACACCCGCCGTCCGCCAGACAGAGCTAGCAGCCACGCGGCGGCTGGGCCAAGCGTGGGGTGTTGGTGGAGACAATGAAACTTGGAGGCGCACAAACAAGGCGCTGAGCGTTGATTCTTGACAACGTGCCAGCAGCGTGGAGAGGCTCGGCTCTCCACAACAGCCCTTCGTGTTGTGTCTAGAAGGAAAACAGCAACTGCCGTTCCAGACACAGCCTCAACAAAGAGAACGGCCGCCGCTCCAGCCCTAGAGCCCCTGGGCGGAAAAGTCCACCAAGTCACTTTCGCCCCCAGTCTAGCGCAGCGCGGCCCGGCCCGCGTGTTTCTCTGGGACTCGCAGCCCCGGTGCGCACAGCCCGCGGCCGCCTTACCTTTCTTGCTCTTCATTCTGTAACTCCCCTCCCAGCGGAAGGCAATGCTGGGGTCTCGAGGGGCCAGGAGCCGGGACACAGCGGGCAAGCCGTCGTCCTCCTTCACTGCAGACTCTCCAGCAACTTATAGGACGTGCTCCAGCCGTTATTGCTAAACAAGGCGCTTGGATCCCAGGCGCCTGCTCCTTGGGTGGAATTCAAGTGACACTTGGGCTTCCTCCTGCCGGGATCTTCTGGCAGCCGGCCGGGGGCTCTCCCTCACCCAACTCGCTCCCCTCCCCACTCCGCTCCTTTGTTCCCGGCTCCTGCACGGCGCACCTCGGCGCTGTCAGAGTGAGAGGCGAGGAGGGAAGGTACAGGAGGTCCTGCCTCCGCCCCCAGCCGCCCGCCCCGTCCCCCGCCCGTCCCACCGCGCCTCCGCCCCTCCCCCGCACCTTTCAGCGGGGGTGGACTGGACCGAGCAGCGCGGCCGCTCTGACCTGGCCACTGTCACCCGTCCCTCACAGGGGTGGCGGACCCTAGAAACACTATCACGCCTGCCTGCTGCGCGTGCACCGCCCGCATCCCTCGCCCGGCGGCGGAGACACCAGCTGAGCGTTCCGGGTTTTTCCTTTGGGCCTTTCTTCCTGAGGCTGGCGAGAGTGCGTTTGGTTAGGAAATTGCAACAGATGGGAAAAAGGACGCCCCCTTCTTCCCCTCCTCCACCCCAGGGAAGAAAAGACTCGCCCTCTTGTTTTTGACAGCTGCCCCACACTCCTCAGTCCCTGCTTGAGCCGCACAAGACAGCCGCTTCTGATTCAAGGGGCGGGGCACAAGAGGAAAAGTATTCGGGACAAGAACCAACTTCTTCCAGAATGTGCGGCTGCCATTGACACGCGGGCGCGGCGCGGCGCACCCTTCTCCTCCCGGGGCTCTTCCTCCAACAACGACAGTGGGAGGTGGGGGGGTGGGGATGAGACAGAAACCCTAGGCGAATGTCTGTTTCCCCGGGCTAAAGCTGTGAGTTCCGGATTGGATTGCAAGGCAGTTTCGAAATCTAACACGTTGCGAATAGACACTTGTCATGCTCACATGCTCTTTAAACGTCTCTGTCTGGGGACTGCCCGGGCGCGCGCCCGCCCTGCTGCTACTCGGCCCGACCCCTCCACCCCCGGACCCCGGCAGCTGCCGCCTTTATAGCAAAGAGGCGACCACGCCGTGACTGCTCATCCGTTTTGGTAAACAGTGTCTACTTTTAGGACTTAAATCCCGCTAGGGGACCCCTCCTCCCCTTCTGTATTTCAAACAGAAACTAGCCATTAAGTAAACACATGTTCCTGTGGGTTTATTTTGGTTGAGTTACGAGGACTCCAACAGGAGTTCCTTGATGAAATTCCCCTTTTAAAAGACCAGATGCTGTTTGGCTGATTTCTAGACACGCATGACCTCTCCTCTGGGTCTAGTTTTTTTTCCGCGTGGGTATGTCCCGTTGTTCTGAAGCAAAGCAAATGAACTGTCATACACCACGGTTAGACTTTCTCCATCACTGAAAAAGAAAAAAAAAAAAAAACACCCTAAACGCAAATAAGCCTAGTAAAAGACGTCAGCGCCTGGGTCTGTCTCCAGTTTCGGCTCTGTGGCTGTTTTTGTTTTGTAACCTCGTTGGAGATCCCGGTAGGAGAAAGCTCCGTGGAAATAAGGTTAAACCCGAGAAGGACTAAAGCAGCCAAAGAATGACTAAACTAGACTTTGGAAACTGTTTTTAGGATTACGCTGAAAATTAAAGCCAGCCTCCTTTGCGCCCCCTTCCGAAAGACACCCCCGCCCCAAGAGTGCGTTATGGCCAGGGTTTAAAAAGCTTGGGTGGTTTTTCCAATTACAGGACTTAAAATGAATCAACAAGGAAAAAAGCGTCACTATAAGAAGGCAGCAACCTTACGATTTTTTTTTTTTCCTTCTGTGGTTTGCCGACTGCTCGGCCCAGAAGAGAACACACATCTAAAAGCACGGGAGGCAGCCAGAGGAGGGAGGACAGGGTCCTGGGGAGAAACCACCAGCCTGGAGCTAGCTTGCAACTGCCTGGAGCCGAGTTCCTTCGCCGGGCCTGGCTGCAGATGAATCAGCTGCTGCGCCCGAGTGCGGGACAGATGTGGCGCGGGGAGGGGGCCGGCTTGTCCGGCGCCCGTTAGAGGGCCGCCTAGTTATTTCATTTGAAGGGTTGTTTGTTGCTGGGATTGGTGGCTCATATCCGCTCGGGAACCAGGAGAGGAGGGAGGAGAGACGCAGGGAGGAGGAGCCCGGGGCCAATGCCGCAGCGACTCCGCGGTCTGAGTGGCAGGATCCAAGCCTGGGACCGGACGGTTACTGCGGAGACGCTTTGTTTGCTAACTTCGAAAGCGCCTTCGGTTGCCTCCACTCTTTCGAAGCCACTCTACAAAACAAACCTTCGGTCCGTTTAACCCTCCCCTTGCCTGCTTTCGGCAGCCAGAGACAAAAATGTTTCCTTCTTCCAGGTGGTTATCCTTGGCCACGGGGTGGCTCTCATTATGTACACAAAGGTAGCTTTACTTTGGTCTAAGTGAATTTAGCTAATTAATGCGATTCTCCAGCAACCGAGATGGAAACCTAGAGTCAAGGGAGTTTACAGCTTGAAAACAAACTTTACAGGGCAAGGGGGAGGGGTGGAGAAAAATTAAAAGCCTCTTTCAAATTATGAGGAGGAGGAAAACGTGGAGACTTAAACTAACCTTGGCTAGAAAGCCAGCTTGATCCGGCCAACGCACACCTTTTGCTCGAAGCAGTGTTTATTAAAGCTGGCAGGATGCTCCCAAAAGAAACATAGGCACAATTCTATGATGCAGCTGTAGCTTGATAGCCTCCCTGGTGCATGTCACCCCACTCCACCCCCAACGCTAGTGCCAAACTTATGAGGAAACCAACCCAAAAAAAATGATCTCTGAACTCCAGCAATTGCTTTAGGATATTTTTTGCTTGCTTGCTTTTGTCAAGGTGGAAAAACAAGTTTCCGTTCTGGCTCTGTCAGTCTTTAAAGTGTCAGGGCCTCTCTGTAGAATCGATTCAGTGACTTTTAAGATTCCAATGCTTAAAACAAATTATGTGGACTCACATTTGCTACATATTATTTGCTGAATCCATCTGAATTTTCATTGGATTGGGAAATTGCCTGCCTGAAATTGAGACGTTGCAGGTTTTGGGGAAGGCTGCTGATAAAAAAATTTTTACCATTTTTTTTTTCTTTTCAGGCACACACACAGTTCCATTTGGTGTCTTATCTTTAGAAGCTGCCTCAAGGCCAAGCAAAGAAACAAGAGTTGTCATTAAGTTACTTTTCACAGCTTGCAAAAACTCAGATGGAAACTTGGAAAGGCAAAGAAGCCAGAAAAGTATATCAATGAATGCAGTTATTATTTTTGATATCAGGTCCATCAAATGCTTGGAAGATATATTTGTTGTATTTCTTTTTTTTTTTTAATTCATTGACTTTAATTCATTGATTAGACATGATTTCCATCAGGTGCTGTGTCCTAGGTGGGGGGATGATGACTCACAGTCTTTGGATCCCTTTTGCTTCTTGTGTCTAGAAGGCAGATATTTTTTATAAAATATGCAGACTCTTGGGCTCCAAACACTGCACAAGGGGCCTATAATCATCTTGTCACATCTCAGGTCAGAGGGTCTTGGCTGTTTATGAAGAAGCTGACCATTGTCTTTTCAAGGGCCTGGGGCTGGGCTATGGCTCTTGTGGTGATTTTATCAACCCCAGCAGGATAATTCTCCTCCTTTTTGCTGCATGAATAATGTAACCGGTGCTACTACTTTTCTCCTACTCTTCACATCTCTTTCCAGTCCTCCTTTCTCCTCTGTTGTTACTTCTCTTTACCTTAAGTGGATTTTGGAATCCAGGAGACAGACAGCAAACTAATTTATTAAGCCCAGCATTTACCTCCTTTATTCTAAATATCTCCTATCTGCATGTGCTTCATAAATTTATGAAATATTTAATTTAAATGATCTTATTTCATGTAAGTTTTTTTTTTTTCTTGAAGTCAAGATAAATAACACATTCAAATGCAACACAGCTAAAATGCATAACACTAACTATTGGACATACATTATCTGGCTCTAAATCAAGTGATCTCTAGGAAATCCTGTGAGGAAGGCAGAGACTGACCTCAGATTACAACATCAAAGGATACCAGAGACATCATAATCTCCTGGACACTGGGGGTTGCTCTCTGAAATCTATCTCTGGTTTTCTAAGAGGCTATATCTTTCAATGCACCTATCTTTTGTGACTTTTTTTTTTTTTGGTGCCACTGAGGGTGAAACCCAGAGCCTCACACATATAGGCAAGCAGTATGCCACTGAGCTACACCCCCAGCCTAGACTCATTTTTTAATTAAAAACAACAACAACAAAAGACTTCTCAACAAATCAGGGAAGAAAAAAGAACTATGCAAACTGAGATATGAAAGACCTCCTGACTGCACCCTCTTACCTTCCATGTGGGTATTTATACACCCATAAACCTAGCATGACCCCTTGGGTCAATGAGCTAAAAAACAAGATTTTTCATCTTAATTTCGTGTTTTTAAGTCCTTCTGCCTAGGCCTATCCTTCATCCCTTGTTTCGTGTCTGACAGTTATCAGTCAAGACTTGGCTTATATTTCACTTTTTTAGAGGAGTCTTCTCTGACTACCTAACCTAAATCAGGTGTCATGTGTCTCCTGCCCCTCCATCCCGCCCCCATATAGCTCAGGGTTTTTTAGCCATGATCCTATTGACATCATTTGGGGGCTGGATAATTCTTTGCTGCGGGTGCTGTCCTGTGAACAAGATCACTGGCCTCTAGCCAGTATGTACTAGTGCATCTTCCCCCCAAATTAGGACAAACACCCATCTCCAGACATTGCCAGGTATCCCCTGAGGGGTTAGAAATGGGACAAGAGTGGTCATCCTTTGTTGGAGACCATAAAGCTAGCTCAACTCTTTCCTTAGTTCTTCAATTAAACTACAGTTTTTAATCATTTCATTTATGTATTAAGTTTTTCCCTCTGAACCCTCACTAAAGTACATGATCATTATTAAAACTTTATGCACTTAGCATAGTGCCTAAAATATGATAGGTACCCAATAAATATTTATTTAACAAATAATGCGTGACAATGAGACTATAAACATCAAGAAGAACGTAATTATTTATTGTTTAGAACATGCCAAGCAATGTGAAAATACTTTCCTTGTTTTACCATATTTATTCCTGAAAACATTCCTCAAAAGTACTTCTTCTTTTTCTTATTTTGTTTTGTGACTCACCAGGGCCTGGTGCATGCTAGGCAAGCATTCTACCACTTGTCCTATACCCCAGCCCTACTCCTTATTATCTCCATCTTACAGATAAAGAAGTTGAAGTCTAGAAGAGTTAATTTGTCCTGCCAACATGACCCCTTGGGTCAATGAGCTAAAAAATAATGACATTCTAAGATTTACTTTTTCATTTATTTAACAATTTTCTCAGCAGTGAGCCCTTAACAGTTTTCAACTTGTAGGCAATTATATGTAAAATATACAACAATTAACAGGCTATAGGCAGCAACCAATTGGAAGGAGCTTCTGATTGTGTACCAAAACACACTGATATGAATCAACATCTCAGCATATTGTCAACTTGTATGCAAATCTCTTGAGACTTGTGGGAGCAAATATTTTTAGCAGTCTCCAGGAGGTGGAATAGCTGAGTCAAAAGGTGTGTGCATTTAAAATTTTGGCAGATCTTGCCAAATTGCCCTCCAAATGATCTCACTTATTTCAAATCCCACTGAAGGTATTTGAGATCTTTTTTTTCTATACTCTTGCTAACACTGCATATTATTAATTTCCAATTTGTTTGTT